ATAGCAACCCTTCTGAACCTCAGAAAGAGAAAATTCGAACCCCTCTGACCCTCAGAAAGAGAAATTCCAACCCTTCTGACCCTTACAAAATGAAATTCCAACCCCTCTCAACCTCACAAAAGAGAAATTCTAACCCTCTGACCCTCAAAAAGAGAAATTCTAACCCCTCTGACCCTTACAAAAAGAAATTCCAACCCCTCTCAATCTCAGAAAGAGAAATTCTAACCCCTTTTACCCTGATGACTCATTTCTCAAGGTCAAAGTGGTCCAGAAGCGGCACTGCCTATCTACTGACTGATCTTTGGGCTGAAGCCCCAGTCTCTGCCCATGGTTCTTCTACATGCCCACAGTGAGGCATACGTCTTGCCCATCTGTGTCTCTATGTTCTCGCTCCAGTGGAGCTTGGCGTCCAATTGAACACCCAGCTACCTCACTCAGGTAGCATAGGCGATCTGTGCACCCGCTAATCTCAGCGGCGCCGGGTTTGTAAGTTTGTATTTCTTGGTGAATATCATAGCCGACGTCTTCTCAGAGTTAACTGAGGGTTTCATCCTTCGACACCAATTCACCATTGTTCTCAGAGATTAGTTCATTCTATCTCTCAGCACATTAAGGAACTGGCCCCTAGCGACAATGGCCATGTCATCCGCGTATCCATATACCAGGAAGCCCTGTTCCCTCAATTCTTCTAGGAGCTCGTCCACGCCGAGGCACCACAGCAGTAGAGATAGAACTCCGTCCTGTGGGCACTCACCCTTCGGGCGACCTCCTATCTGCATGCCATTGTGATCGGCAGTCAATCACCTGCTCACCAACATGCCTTGTAGCCAGTCAATGATGGTTTCTGGAAAGCCCCTTCTTGACATGGTTGTTTTTATGACCTCATTTCAGGAAAGCGCCCATTGCGTAACAATCTCCTCCTCAACCTTTGTCACCAGGTGGTTTTGGCTGGTCTCAGTGCAGTTCCTCTCCCTGTAGGCCTACTGAGCAAAAGACAGCAGCCTGGCTATTAGCAGTGTGCTCTTTATTTATCTATACATGAGCATCTCCATTGTTTTTAAAACACAGGAGGTTAGGCTGATGGGTCGAAAGTCTCTTGGCTTGATATAGCCGTTTCGGCCGGGCTTAGGTAGAAACACTATTTTCGATTCCCCCTAAATTCGTGGTACAGTTCTCAGTGCTACGCTGGCTCTCGGAATTTTTGTATGAAGTCCCAGGATGATATTCATTCCTCTTTGTAGTAACACAGGATAGATACCATCTGATCCTGGCGCTTTCAGCGGTTCAAAGGATTTGATCGCCACGGTCCTCCCTTAAATAATAATAAATTCCCCATAATAGAAATCATCAGCATTAAATTTCCTAATATTCGTACCTCGGTAGGATTTATTTCAATTAATGAAAAGTTGTCTAGTACTCTAAAGACTTTGGATTGATAAAGGAAGAGTTTATAGTATATTCCATCAAGAGGCCGTTAGACATTTTTCTGGCGATTTAGAGTTTAGAGTCCGAGGCGAAGTCGAAGAATGCAAACACATTCGTCAGAAAAGTTCTTTTCGGTCGAGTAACGAATAATATTTTTTCGGCTCGTGAAACCCTGCCTACGGACTGAATCATAAAAATGCTCTTTTCAACTTCATTACTGAAGCATTGATTGCTCTGAAAATGCTTTGACGCCTGATTCAGCATTGACATAACATTTTTGTCTACGTGGTCTCCAAGAAGCTTGATGCCAAGGCAATGCAAGCGTGGGAAATCAGAATTTGCATAATCATAACCTTTCCACATGAAGAGGAATGTCCACACAAACTTACTGATCTCGTATTAGTAAATGTGGGATGTTGCTAATGATAATGATAATGTGGGATAGTGTACTAATGAAAAGTCATGTGAAATTTATAAAAAATTACTGCAGTTCCCCGGAATATTTACTGCGCAGGGCAACCAAATTTACTGATCTGATCTTCACTTTTCTCTGAACTTCATTCAATGTTGTTAAATGCACTGCTAAAAATCTGAAATATTGATGGAAGCAGCAGATTTAATAATTCTTTCATTCTTTTTCATATCAGTGATTGATTTTCCATAGGATCTCTTCTAACTTTTAGTGGACTGTTCATTACTTTTTCAATGACGGAGTTGGGAAATTTCACTGGATTGAACCGTAATATTAAAGGGTAGATCGCAATGCTCCACATTCGCTGCACAGTTCGGTAAGTTTTAAAGTGATTCTCGTGTGAATTTTCAATGGACATTTCTCTCCGTGTATGTTGGAGAGCTGAAGAAATTCCTCTTAAGCAGTGCAAGGATGAAAGAGAAGATTGAATTGCACGCTCCAGTGAGTTCCATAAAATCTAACACTGTTGGTTCTTGTCAGCCTCAAAACGTGAAATAAAATCAGTAATGGACCCGAGCGGACGGGTTCGTTAATAGGGATAGATCACTCGTAGATAATTAGAAATGAATATCTGTCAGGGAGAATCAATTCCTTTAGCAATTGAATTATTTATTTAAATAAATGAAGTCTTTTGTCTGATTCCGCAGGTATCAGGCCTTATAAGTTACAAGAAGGTGACTTAACGAATCGTCGTATTACTAATTGACTGTGTCTGACAAATTGACTAACTGACCCAGTAGCAACGAATTCATGAATTTATATTTCATCCTGGATACGGTTGCAATATGTGTTTTCTCTTTGTTTTACACATGACGACGTATCGGGTGACGTCCCAGGTGCCATAGCCGTTGACCGCGCAAAGTGCTGACGCTGCACCCCAGTGATTCACATTATGACGAATATACGTGGACTTAATCGATAAATATTCGGGTTAATTTATATTTCAACATTAACATTCTCTGACTCGACATTATATGTTTTGGATAATATGTACCACTTCGTGTGTCCTAGATATTATCTAGATCAATGAGAAATTAATTAATTCTATTTCATAATTAATGATATTTCTGGGGCATAACATCTCTATGACAAAAATAATAGGATCGGTTTCTCATGTTTTTCTTGTTTATTCTGGTAATTTATTATTCAGTAATTCAATAAAAATTGTAATGATGATTAATTCCACAGTATTATGACTATTGTGACTACTTTTTTTTTAGATTGCGCAGATATTTTAGGTATGTATTACTACTGGAAAGTTTGTCTGGAGAATTTTCGAAAGGCAATGAGACACCTAAATTCATAAATATTCGAATGCATCTGAATTTAAAATGCAAGCTGTATCAGTTTTCGCTACATTAAGCGTAAAGCTGGGAGCATTACGAAAGTTTTCGCATAAAACTAATGCAATAAAATACGGAATATCAATGCTACTTGTTCGGAAATCATCGAAAATTCAAATTCTTACAAAATGACAACCAATAAAAAATTATAAAAACCTTGAGTGGTAAAACGTCCTTGTTGATTTCATAAAAAGCGGCCATTGAAATTGTCCATTGCAGTAATCCAGCTACATTACCACATGCTTGTTTCGCAGCTTCATAGGTGTACAACTCATATTGTGCGTACGGTCTCATCAGATCTACTGTTTCGGCATTTATATTATCTTTCGGGAAATTTTGAAGATGATACAGAAATCTTGTGTCTGCCATGACTTTCAAAGCTTCTGACCATGATGGCGTTAAGAATTGGCGATCATAATCTGGTGTCACTGAATTCAGTTTTCGTCCGAAGAGAATTAGCACACAATCCATGATCAGAGTGATAAGGTACGGAGGTTTCCCCAATTTTCGAATAGTAGAAATATCTGCTGCTTTTATCGTCTGAAAATTGAACCAACAATTAAATAACTATATAAACCGTCCATCAAAAATATTTCCTCCCTTCCTGATCATAGAAACGCGCAATTTTAAATAAACAGTAATTGAGACACTAGGCGATGAAGTCATTTCATTCTGATATATCATTGCCTAATATACACCTGTTATCTGGTTAATTTCAAGCAGGTCAAGAGTTTGTAAATCGTCCCAATAGTAATACTCTATAGATGAGTATCACTTACGAAAAAGAAACTAAAAACATAAATGATTCAAAAAAATGTGGGTTTCGGTGTAAGTTGAGAGAATTAATAATGTTAGAACAGTCGATTCAGCGTATAGAAAATGAAACAGATTCAGTCACAGCAGTTCAACGTGGTTTACACCATGGAAGTCGGAACGTAAGTGTCTTCTTCGACAGTTGTAATAATAGTCGTCAGGATGAAGGTGTCCTAATTATCGCGGATTACATCGAAGATCTCCTGCGACTAGGATAGTGCGATATACATCATCGGTATATAATTTTGTTGCTAAGCCGAGATTAAAACAATGTGTTAGGGTAGTAGAGAATGAACCGATATTAAAATAAATGTAAATATACAAGTAGCTTCGAAACAAAAAATAATATGACTGAAAACGCATCACCTCAGTCAGAAGCAGTTTCTGCAAGGGAATTCCCTGCGATTTCTTTTTTATTTTTCATTTTCATTTTTCTATTTTTCTGAGATTTATTGAAAACTGTCGATCGGATTGGGATAAGAAAATATCGCGTTTGTCCGTTACATCATGATTTATCCTTTCACAAAGGTTCATCCCGATACACCAATTTTTATAACTTTTCACTAGAATTTATTGATTTTTTATTAAATTTTAGTGAACAGTTGGAAAAATTAGTGTATCGGGGTGAAACTTTATGAAAGAGTCAATCATGATGGACCGGACAAATGCAATATTTTCATATCCCAATCCGATTGATAGTTGTCAATAAATCTCAGAAAAACGGGAAAAATAACAAAATACCAGCAAAACATCCTTAATGCTTCTGTGACGAGGAATCACCATCAAGAATCAGTGTGTATGCAGACGATATTTTCAGTAGTTCAATAACGGAAATAAAATACTTGTCCGAAATTCGGGGGTGGAACGATAACGTTACCCAAGAATTCGGAGCGAATAATTGGTGGATAAATGATCGTTGTTGAGAAAATGAATATAACTCTCATAACAATTCTGAAAACTGACGATGAGAAAAGGGCTGGGAAAGCCTTAGCAGCTAAGAATGAGTGCACTGAGACTTACTGACTCCCCTGATAAAAAACCGTTATATTGACGAACGCAGAAAAATTTACATCCACCATCTTAAAATTCCTACAATCGCTGGACAAACAAACCAAGTCAGGCCTGGATAAGGCTTACGGCAGTCCTTGGGAAAAGAGGCTGCTTGAATGTGATTGAAAAAATAGAATTACTTATTTTTTAGTTTATACATCTATTAGAGTAACAGAAATATGGTTCTGAATTGTTCAAACAAAACACGAAATTGAATAGTTTCTATTTCTCATATACTGGAGTAAAATGTATTATTCGAACAGATTTTGGAGCGATATGAACGATGCTCGGGCACTCATCGAAGTAGTCATCGCCGTGCTGATATCTGAGGTCTTCAAGGAGGGGCCTGACGTCCTCAGGGCAGCACCACCCCAAGATAAATACTTCTTTCTAAAAGCTAGTAATATCAAACGATTCATCGACTCTGTTCATCGCCAGCTGTACAAATTGCTGACGGAGATCGAGCTGGGAAACCGCTGATTCAGCCTACTGCTCAAGGAAATGTTTCCTTGCTGGAAACAGAGCCTCTGAAGAACTTCTTCGCAGTAGATGGCTAGCGCTGCTGCCTGACCTTGTGTGAAAAATTCTCAAGTCTGTCGAGAACAACAGTACTCTGGACCAACTAACCGATGCACAGACAGTGCCACGGAGAACTAATGTGTTACACGACGCCAACCACAGCCAACCAGACAGTGACGCTATCGCCCAGGTCATGGCAGCTGGCCATACCAACAGGCCACCATGGTCACGATTATATCAACAGTCTAACTACAATCCGGCATTGGAGCACGCATTCGGTGCCGGTGTGCGGCGCTCGCATTCTAAAGCAAAAACACGTCTGGCCAGGTATTCAAAAGGATGTTCGAGACTGGTCTGGAAACTTTTTGGCCTGTCAGCGCTCCAAGATCTTGCGACACAATCGGCTGATCCCCAAACACATCGACGTGCCTGACACACGCTCCAACCACGTTCACCTAGACCTCATAAAGCTCCCAACCATTAAGCATCTCAGATATTGTCTCACGGTCATCGATCGCTTCACGAGATAGCCAGTTGCCATTCCTCTGCATATGATATGACACTGTCTACACCGTCTTCTACGCACACTGGATTGCCTAATACGGTACGCCACTCACCATCACCACTGATCGAGGCTCGCAGTTGGAATCTGCACTATTGAGAGCATTGGCAAGCCTAGTAAGAGCCCATCGCATCAGGACCACACCGTACCACCGGCAATCGAACGGGCTGGTTGAGCGATGGCATCGCACTCTCATTGCAGCATTGATGTGCAGTAAGACTGTACCCAGGCCTAAAGAACTACCCAGGATTCTCCCAGATTTGCGCACTAGCTACAAGGAAGACCTGAATGTTTCTCCGGTGGACTCGCTCTATGGCCGAGGCCTACGTGTTCCAGAAGCTCATGAAGTTATGGAGATAGATGGGACCGAGAAAATGGTATCGGTGAAAAGACTGAAACCAGCATACATTGTTAAAGATGACCGGATCCAACAGCGAACTTCTCAGCAGGCTGAGAAACGCAACGACAATGAAGCATCGTTCTCCAGCACCAACGAAGCCCTTCGCACAACCTCCAGGAAGAGGAAAACTGTCTCGTTCCCTTCGCACCCTGCGAAGGTGCCAAGGGGGAGAGTGGATGCGGCGACTCCGTGATCACCTAGTACCAGCGCGGCAAGTGGTGCACCAGCACCACGCATGCGCAAGCAAATTCTAGTAAATCATAAGGAACAACTCCACACATGCAGTGACTCTATTGAAAACAATTGGATTGTACTAATTGTTGATTATTATTAGTTCTATTGAATAAAAATATATTGTTGACAATAATTGTGGAGACTTGTACATCCTGGGGAAAACAAGGCAGGCGGCTAAACACTTAGTGTCACTAGCTCCGAAGCATTTAATCCACCGGAATTATCGTTACAGTGGGGCAACAGTTTCATGGACAAGAGCGCCATAGTTTTTCCCCAAAGCAAAACGACACCATCAGAGGATCCCACCATGTGCAATCTACACGTTCGAAGGTAGGGGAATTTTGTTGATCAATGCTAGCACCGCTGGTTGCTGAAGGCTGATATCCCTCCCGGCTTGCGAGTGCAATTATCCTATTCAATAATCGGATCGAACAGCGTTTTCTACGCTGTACCGTATTCACTCTCCTATAGAATATAGGAATGGCATAGGACACCAAAGGATAAACCATCTCCGTATAGGCGGGTGCTCTATTAGCAACCTCCCACTCATGGGTACACGTTGAAAAATTCGATTCAATGGAGAATCGAATATACAACTTTCAGAACACCAGGCTCGACCCTAGCCACAGACCTACCGACGTCGGTTTCTCTCACATTTTCTTTTCTTATTTTTACAGAGCCTTTCAATTTTTGGAAAGATCCCGAGCATCGCGAGATGCCTCGGGGAATTAAACGGGGTTTCACGTTTTGAGGAAGTTGCTACCGTTAACTGGGCAAGGGATGTTCGCCGCCGTTTCTTTCATTAATACAACCAGCGGATTTTGAGGACCGTTCATAGAGTTTTATTTTTGTTTTTGAAGGACATTTTAGCCATGAATCTACCGCTCTCTCCACAACCTAGTACACGGAGTACCGCAAGCATCCGTAACCTCTCCCTTTACCCCTTCGCTAAACTGGGTTTGAGTACATTTTAGAATTCCGTTTCTGGTTTTACTTTAGATTTAAGTTTCGAGTTGTTAATTCCTCGACGTAGGAAAATTAGCTGCGTCCGGCAACCTTTTTGGTCCCCATTTAATTTTGTTTTGTATAGGCGAGGAGGCAATAGGGAGGAAAGGATGGGTATTTTCATGTAGCGTGAAAATGTCACGTCACACTGTACTGGACTACAGATGACGAGTTCGTCTGAAACTTCATCCCATCCCAAGTTTTTGATATCAATAATCCAGCGGCCAACTTAGAGTCAACCGGAGAAATGACCTTGAATTTTTCTTTCCAGTCAAGCATCTTATTCTTCGTTATAAATATATGGTATTCCATATCAACTCTTGAAGTTTCAACTTTCATAGTTCTTGACTTGTTTACAAATTCATTCCTCCATTCACCATGTAACTATAACATCCCGTATTTGTTAACTTTAACATTTAATGAACCATTTTGTTCCAATCGAACTTCAGATTTTTTTGAGACTTCATTTACGGCTTGCAGTAATGAGTTGCACAAAAAATTGTGAAGACAAAAATATTCAGTTTCTAAGCAAAGAGTTTAAAACATTTAGCAATTTTTTAATTAATCATCATTACGATGCTTTAAAAGCAAAAAAATTAATTTTCAACTCAAGAACGAGATTATTATGAAAAATCCACTTTGAATTTGGATCAAATTTTCACTGCTCAAAATACAATATTTTCCGATGATTCTGGCGCCAAACGCATCATTGGATCTCAAAAGGGGATTTTTGAATGAAATTTAGGAAAAAAAAATTTGTTGGAAATTGGAAGTTTTTCGAGGAACTGTTCTTATATATGTATTTTCGATGAGGAATTATATCATCCACAACTATTGACATCATGAGAAAGTATAGGAACTCCTATACTATCATGAGATTAGTGAAACTTGTTGAAGTTCAGGAGTTGAAACTTCAGCAGTTAACATGGATTATAAATGGTTCTTTCCATAAAACGTTACTCGTTTCCATGATCTGGCTAGAGCAGATAGTCTTGTTCGAAAATTTTTGAATGATTTCATCATTGAAGGTGTATACAAGAACATACCTGGAGTGCTGCTTCCGCAGCTAATAGAGCTGGTTCAGCTACTTTTAGTTGCTCCTCTGCATTTGCTTTGTCTTCAGATATCAATGTCAATAAGGTCTCAGCTTCATCCTTCGATTTTTGCACTTTAGCTTTCACGGCTTCTGCTTCTCTTTTCTTTTCATCCACTCTTTCGAGAATCTGTACATCGTATATCAAAATAACATTACTACATCAAATAAATTATTACATATGAATTATCGAAAAAATATTTACAGCCTCCACTTGGACGTTTTTGACGGCAATCTCTTCTTGATTGCGCTCTAATACTTTACGTAAGCCTTCCACTTGCTCTGCTGCATCGATAAGTTTATGGAGACCATTTGTCATTCTAGAAGAAAGTATGTTGATGTTCTTCAGTTGATGGCTGTAGATAGTTTTGTAACCGCTCAGAAATGAAAGAAAAGATTTGGCTGTAACATATGTTTGGCGTCGAAAGCGATTAAAATATTCTGTGCAGACATTTCTAACATCGTCGTGAATTTCAGCCATTGTTTCTATCAATTCATTCTTAATTTCCTGAGTAGTAGCCAACTCATAAGTACCCAGGAAATGTTTGCTCACAGCACATAAGGCATCCATTGGCCATTTACTGAACCAATTCATTGTGCATCCTGAGATTAAGCCAGGAAATTTCAAAGCTCTGGAACGAAATTTCCCACCGACTGGTGAAAAGCATAATACAACATGCAAATTATTCCGGGCTTGTGAAATAAAATAATCATAAAGATTATCTTGTGTTGGTGGAATCTTCGGATCAGTAGTTCTCATAGCCGGTATCAAACTTAACAATAATTCATCGAGCTCCGCTTTAGGAAAAAGATTTGCAATTTCTCCGACGCTCAGCACATTATTCATGTACTCTAGAAATGACTCTTCTTTTATTTCATTGTCGCTTAATATGAATGTTAAGCCAGATTTTCCAGTAACAGCTTTATGATATAGCTTTTTCAAGTCTTCCAATAAGCTGCTAACGTTGTAACTCCTGAAGAAGGAAATCATTAAAGCTTGTTTTCAAACAGGAGAGTGCAACTATACCTTGATAGCACAATTTGAAAAAAATCGTATCCAGCAATAAATGATGCTAGTCGCGTCAAACTTTGCTTGCCAGAACCTCCCACACCTACAAGAAGAGCATTACCACGCGCCATCCCAAGAATTCGTGATATTCGCAGAAGGTGAATCAGCGCATCATGAAAGAAAACTAGGTCAAGCTTAATGCCACGAATGCATTCATTGAATTGTTCCATTTTTTCATAAACTTTTGACACCACGAACTGATACCTGCGAAGAATAAAATTTTCACAATCGGCTGCTTTTCTTAAATTCCATTGAAACGCCCTTGTTGGTACATACAGGCGGAATTCGAATTAACAATAAATGTCTAGTTCTGTACCAGGTTGTACGTTGGATTATGAAGTATGTTGGATTATGAAGAGAGGCTATCAATGTGCACGTCGGTGCGTTGTACGCAATGCATATAGATGATAGAGGTTAGAAAAATAATCCCATATCA